CCTTAAATAGATCATTGAACCCTCGAGACAAACAGATTCCAAACAGGGAACACTTACCATATATAGAATGTAAGCAATTGCTCCGTACATCAAAAACTGTCGCAAGCACAGTGTTAGCGGAACTGGTTTCAATCTTAAGTTGTTTTTGCCTAGGACCGATATCTGTTTCCAAAGGAGTTGTAGTATATCCATAAAGAGCGATCCAAGGGACATAACTCTATGGGGTTTGTTTGAAATCCTGTATGAATGCCTAATAAGAAAACCTCATACATCTATATATGCCCTTCACTGTCTTCTACATGGAATAAATATCGCAGCTTGGCATAGTGAATCGCGACACCTCAGACACGACCAATAACACAATATATTTAGAGTGTTGCCCTGAAATACGTTGGTACATTCATCCACATTCAAATTATTTCTGTTGTAAATAAGAAATGGTGTTTGTCGTTTTACTTTCATGATTAAGCACTTGTACACATAATGTTAGCTTTTGTGTACTATGTGAGTATGGTGGGCAAGATTTAGTTTGAGCAAGATGTCAGTGACATCTCTACATATCAGCTTACTTCACTGCATATGAGTTTACATCACTCCCGATATAGGGCATATCACCTTATATCACTGCAAATCAGCTTACATCGCTGAATATCAGCGTATACCACTGCATATCAGCTTGTATCACTGCACATCAGCTTATACAACTGTATGTCAGCTAATATCACTGTATGTCAGCTTATATCATTGTATGTCAGATTATATACACTAGAAAAAAATGGTCATATCCAAACATTTCCAATTTGGAAATATCATATATCAAACATTTCCAAAATTGGAAATATGAGCTATCAAAGCCTTGGAAATCTTTTGGATATATAGGAAGGATTTTACTGCTGCTTCGTTCAGTTCCTCCTTCAAAGGATCCCCATGAGCGTGTACGTTTAACGATATCATACATATTTTGTTCTGTTATAGTTCTTACTGTTGATCTACATAATGCATTTTGCATTTGACAAAATTTATTCATGGCGATTGCATGAATATGCCATCTTTTGAGCTATCTATTTGTGCTTTATATTAATGTAACTGCATCTGACACGTGAAGAGATACTTCTTTTGAAAGTTGTGATCATGTTTAAAATAGGTGTTTTCTACTCGTCCTTCAACTAGGAACCAATCCTTTATATTAGTATAACTTCACTCATCTTCATCTTTCTTATTGTCAGTGTCAAAAATGTATATTGTCTGTTATATTTGCCCCAAGTAAAGGTACAATTTTCCAAAATACCGTTTTAAATGTATATTTTACTTGTTATCCACAAAAGCGGAAATATTTTTCCCAATTTGTATAAACACGAATTACATAGACCTACTTTACATCATGGATTAATTATAAGCCCTCTGTCTGCCAGGACAAGGTTTATTACATGTCATGAAAGTGAACCTTTGTCAGGGAATAATGGGCTTATTGTGGTAGAATATACATTTAATTGGTACCCTCTAATTAGCACCTGCCACAAGAGGTGGACATTTTTAGTGGTGTATCATTGCGTAAAAAACAGTCAACTAACCATGAAATGTTGTTTTAAGACTGTGGGCTAATTTGGGTTTGTGGTCAGAGACTGTGTGGTACATGCCCGGGAAGGCTGAAATTGATGACCGGCCACATGCAAAAATGTAAATATGACTATTGACGGTGAGGACACATTTCAAGAATGTTTTGTGCATGGGCTTGTCTGTCACACTAGTACTCGAGTGTAAGACTTATCACCAGGTTTAGTTCATATATCTAAGATATATGTTTGTGCAAATGGCAACAAACTTCAACATTATCATTATTATTGTTTTAAAGATATAGGTTTATTATTATGTGTAATTATTGTATGTAAAATACCTATTAGCCTATTATATTGTGCTAATTATAGAAATAACCTAAATCACGATGCTTGTCGGTTTGGGGGTAGGAGCGTGTGCAGTTCAGTCTAGAATATTTTACCCATATATGATAATACAATATAGAAACCGGCTATAGATTGCCAACAACTGTAGATATAACACCATACTTGGGACCATGAGGACTTACAGTTCATTTGCTTCCTGCATGGCCCCTTGCTGGATTTACACTATCCCTTCAGCCGTTAGCAATTGAATATTCGAGTAAAAGTTGTTTACACAGAATATATACATATCACATATATATAATACATAATAATAAATAATATCTCTGCTCAATGGTTTAATTATTTCAATCGATAATTGGTTTACTTATCTAAAGATACTAACAAACCTTTGTTCGATATCTGAGATCTGACTTGCCAAAGAGTCCACCCATTCCTGTTTTGTTGTATGTTTCATACATCATTATAATAACTGACTGTATGTTTACAATACACAAACTATACACGACAGTTCAAACATTCGAAACAGCCGAAACACAACCTACCCATTGGTTAACGATATAACCAATCTCTGTTCATTCTGCTGAGTCACCAAATGTTCCCTTCAGAAATTTAGGCCACGTCCATCACCTGTCACCTGTCCTTCCTATGTGACAGGTATATCATAAAACGATTGGTCATACATAACAAATGATCAACCACTGTAATGAGCAATTGAGATAGTAAGGAGTCTTTCAGGAACGTGATCCAATCCCATCACATGACGCTTTGTATCAAGCGTTCACTCTGACTTAGCCAGAGTCCCACCTAAAAGGTCTTGTTAAAACAACATTGCACTATGGCTAGGTGAGAGATGCGAGCCAGGTAATTAGCACTAGCCACCGAAGCGTGAGCCTTTGTTCAAGGGCTATAGTCTATATTATATCTACAGTGTGACAAGATTAAAGAAATATGCGAGTGTGCGTTTTGTAATAATTGTAAAATCAAAATTTGGTTTTAACATATATATTTATGTGTCTCCAGACAAAATAACATTTATGCGATTAACACGATTACAAAAGTACATGACATCATCTGGGTAATACCATACTGAGCATCAATAATACATATCAGTGTACATGTATCTCCCTTAAACACATTTCATGAACCACAAATATCACTAACTGAGCATTTTGTTAAAACAAACTATAACTCATATGGACGAAGTGTTATCAGAACTCTAACTCCAGTCAGCCAAACCCCACTCTGGCTTTGTGAGAGACCAGTTTTACAGAATCTGGCTAAGTGAGAGGACACCGTATCAAGTCAAGACAAGGAAAATGTATATGCATGGTAATATATGGTTGCAGTGATGAAACAAAGTGACAAAGTATGAATCTGTTCCATCTTACTTCATATTCATATTGGTACTGTCCTTGAGATATATGCAATATTAATAGATGTTTTGTAAAATTAAACCTCACGCAAAGGTATGAGAGAGACAGTTTGTTTATGTATGTCTCGTGTCTTACATACAAGAAATACACACAAATGTTAATTACACATAAATGTTCGATTCGCCAAAGGTCTACGGGAGAAACTTGCAATAAAATTACATATAACGTTGCAATATATGACAGCACACCTGCTATCTTTCAACATATACCTTTACGACACAGTTGAACAATCAAGACTTGTTTGAATGACTAGACAGTTTCCTGTTTAATCCCCTAGGTGTGTAGAACACTAATTAGTCTCACCACAGCGAGCCAGGCAATCAGTGAGGGGCTCCAGGTGTTGAGCAGTGAAGCGACTCTCTGGCTTAATGAGTTCATGGTGGCAACACCAAATATATTATGTCATGAAACATCAAATTTCAACTCCAATCATGCCTGTTAAAACACACACTAGCCTTTTTTATCATAAGACTTTGAAGGTAATAACCCCAATCTCATTACGGTGCTTTTACAAACAGGGAAATAGTGTACATTCTCCAATTAACACCTGTCGCAAACATTTGTGTTCATTAACAGTGTTATGCAACGGGTGTATTCACGAAATCTCATGCACTTTAACAGTAGATTTGTTGTGTTGTCAAAGATGCGAGGTTTGACAAATACTCAAATGAATTTCCTTTTTAATAAATCACAGTGTAACTAAATTAATGTGACCATTTACAAGAATCATGTTACATGTTTCATTTTATATCAAATTAATTTCCATAGAAACCAGGACACAAAGTCACAGATGATTCCACAGACAGGCATACATTTGGAAGATAAGCATAACATAAGCAAGCAAATGATACATATAACTTTGATAGAAATTTCACGAATCTCACTAATTGAGCTTTTTGTTGAAACAAACTATGAGACCAGTTTTTACAGAATCTGACTTAGTGAGAGGACACCGGGTGAAAGAGGAGATGTCCAAGCCAACAATGTCACAAGTGGACTCTCATTTGTCCTTTTATGTTAAACATGCATAAATCGATAAATTACTAATAATACATAAAACATAACATACATAACTGTGTATGTCACAATAATCAATGTCCCTGTGGCTTGTTATTAGAAGTTGGAAGTCAGATATGGCATGTCGGACATCCAAAAGTGAAACTCTGTATTTACGTTTATTTAATGATTGTTGTATTTGATATGCCATTCATATGATAGTTCATATGACGCCACATGCTTCAATTGAATTATGTATTACAAATTGTGTGGGACCGGTGTTCATATAAAGTGTAAAATTGTTCAAATTCATTTTTATGAATAATAATAAAAACGAAACAAAAAAGCCCCACCCCCTGAATACATGGAGATGTTTGGAGTTGTATGGAGAACTGCAATATAATTACTAAACAAAAACATTCCCTCAGTTGTGAAGGCCGTGCGATATTGGTATAAACAATCAAACAAGCCCAGTGGACCAAGCCTCATAATCCATGACATACCCCTTTAAATAAACAACGTGCCTGACTGGCAAACAACGATACCATTTGTATGACATATATTTCTTTACTTGCTCCACAAATTGTTGTATGCACTGCCCATTGTATTTCTTCCAACAAATACAGTAGGGACATTCGTTAAGATTTGAGATGCGTTCACAAGGTGTATGCTAATAAATTTAAGAATCATGAGAAGAGGGTTTTAATTAGTGACATCCGGACTGTTTCGAAATACAGTAACAGGTTATTCAAGCCAGATGAAACCAGCAGAAAGTTGGAGAAGCTGCAGATGGGAGGAGCAACTCATATGTAATTGGATGAACTCATAGTTCTGAATATATATATGAACACCCGATAGGAAAATGCAGTCCATTATCGCACATCAATATACTGAATTTTGTGCTATCGTAAATTTGAGATTTTGCATCTACGAAGCCGTCCAGAATGTCTGTCAGCGATATCTCTTTAGAAGACGCTATCAGCTCAGGTAAGTATATTATTGATTACACAAGATATCAGTAAGGCAATCCTGATGATGCAATGTGCTCCTTCAACAGTACAGTTGTTGAGAAATGTTACACTCAAGACTACCATACCAAATAATGACTATTTAGTATATTGAATCACAATTTGAAAACAAAAGTAACAGACCGACTAATTGGCTGTTCAAACCTTTAATGGATGTCATAAAAGTTCTCCCTGGGGCTTGTCAGGATAGCAGGTTGAATATACTCCCTAATTAACACCGGCTATTTTTCTGTGGGACTGTACAGTGGCCAGAACGGTAAACCAAAGATCTGTATGTCGAATTGATATTTCAAAATATGTCCTATCCCTATTTTGAATCGGAGACAGTACATTATCTTGTATGCTATGTTTGTGTTCCAGGGAGTGAATACCAAATAGACACAGACCAAACTAGTACGACAGACTCTGCCAAAGGCAACCAGGTAATTACGGTGTCACAACTGCATATTCTTAACATGGTCAAATGCTACTTCTACCATGTATTACTTACTGTACTTACTGTCAGTGAAATCAAACCTCATTCTATCTCAACTAATGATAATCTTAATGTCCTGAAATAAGGGAAACATATATTCTGACTTCTCTGTCCAGACAACAGCAAACGTGTTCACTTTTTCTATCTGAGTCGATGAAAGAAAACTTGTGAAGGTATGACCAATATCCATTGTTTATTTCATTATCATGGTTCAAAATGTTGTATAAGAATGCAACTGAATTTTCAGAAATCCGGTCACCAATCACGTCCGCGAGCGACAAGAATGAAAATCAGACAACAGCGAGCAGCGGTGCCGTTCACGTCTACTCCTACGGCAACGGCCTGTGCAAATGCAGCAGCTTCATTCCTGTTATCAGGTACTTTTCTCCGATGTTTCAATGGGTGTTCCCTCTGAATGTAGTTCCAGTAATTGTAATATAACGTGGCTTCTTTGATGGTTATGCATTTGATGTTTACGTGTGTCACAGGCTAATGTTTCTAATTACAGACTGCGAAACTGAAGACGATCATCAGTTTAACCTTGACAAGAGATGCTGTAAGTAGCGTTTATATATAGCAGGATTATACAAATTAGTTACTAATATAACAATATACTTTATCTTATCATTTTACGGGAAGTGCTTGGCTATAACAAAAATAGCGACGTACTTCAGTCAACTGTCCTGATATAGAGTTTGCAAAATATTCCACGTTTTAGAAGGTACAGTTTACACATGAACTGAAGTATCGTAAAACAAATTTGTAATGCCGAAAAGGTTATTGTCAAGATTTCAAGAAACGAAGAAACTCCGTGAAATTCTTAAAGGTCACATGCAACGTAAAATACAACTTTGCAGATTCTGATACCTTTGGAATTACTGAAACAAGTCATCAAAAATGCAAATTCAACTCATAAAGTTGGAAAAAATGCGATGAAAAGCCAGCTAAGTCGGAGTTCAAACGATTCACTAAATTTCCACTAGCGTTGGGGGAACAAGTGCTTTCAACAGCTGCGCTCATAACGCATGCGCAGTGAGCAGGTTCGCGGAGCTTGAAACACGATGCATATCAGGATTATATATATACAAACAAGTAAATAATATCCTCGTTGCATAAACAAAACATGTTGATTGTGGTAAGCAAACAAAACTCAATCTGCCTGCCTGTCTGCTCACGACAATATGCAACACACAATTTCAATGTCACTGACAACATGCAATTTGAACTTAACACCTATCGGGCTTATTACGCCATAAACAAAACCGAATGAGTGCATCAGCTAATGAACCAATAAAACGACCCCGTTACACATGAGTGCAATCACACCCGCTCTGACTGGGTTCGGTATGTTTGATTTTGGGATGCATGTGAATTTTAACAAAACTTTGCACCAAAACGCAGCTGTTCTCATGCACGATATTTGCACACGATTTTCAGTTATTTGATGCATGATCCTCGTGCAATTCATCTGCATAAGGTTTGCAGTTGGTTCCCAAAAGTTGTTGGAGAAATTCATCTTTGATGTAACCATATATTCATATCATACAGTGAGTGCTTTATTTGAGTCTAAACTTTTGATGGGTAGTATATGACATCAGGACGACAAGGCAGTTCTTCAGCAAATAACTTTGAATTGTACAGTTTCAGAGAAGCAACACACGGAAGATATTCTACAGATAATGGAACGGAGGATGAAGCTGATGGAGGACAAAATGTGGATTGCTATTGGTGCCCTGAGACGAGATGTCGCAATGAGAGATCGACAGGTATGGTGTAGCGCTAAATCACCGAGTTATAGTTATTTGTTTTCTTTGCGGTTATACACTTGTACATTATCTGAGTGTATGTTCCACTTGAACGAAGCTTCCCGGAGAGGCCACCTGTCTATTACTTAAATAATCAACTAATCAACAGAGATCAAGGTTATTACATCCCTACGGCTTACGATCAACTAATCAAGCCTAATCAAGAATAACCCACCTTTCTCCACTGGCTTCAATCATCTCCTATCACAACAAGCCCCATGTCAACACACTGCACATCAACCTCCTCTACTGTATAAACACATACCCGTCATGTATATAATTCTCCTTGTGCATACATTGTGCATCATTTGCTTGATAACGGTGTTAGAATCTACACCGAAACGTCGCATCCACTGCAACAAAGAAGTTGTCATATCCATAAAAGTTCTTGATCCTCATCATACCAGCTTCTAAATGCCACTTAAAGAAGTAATCAAGGTGTGAACGTGGGGGGGCAGTTTTGGAAAATGTACTAGTTGTCAAAACAAAGAGTTACTCTGCAAGAAAGTATGTCATTTTCAGTAATTTCATTTGCAGATTGCAGATATGCAAAAAACAACTGGAGAGACTGCAGAGAGGAAGGGATAGTCAAGAACCAGTGACTGGAAACAAACAGAAAGCAACTAACCATGCAAAGGTATTTCTGCTGCCATTTCAGTAACTTTTGGTAATGATTTTTAGACGATTCAGTGTTCTGACACACTTGAGTGAGTTAATATTTACTGTCACATCGGCAATATTGCAGCCATATCGTGCCGCTGACACGCAAGTCATATTTATCGGAATGTTGTATTTTTCCCCATAAATCTTTTACAGGCAACTGTGAGGCAGGCACTTCAGAATGCAGAGACTGCTGGAGGGATGGCTCTAAATCCACAATACAAGTATGAATATACTATATATATATATATATACACTAAATTCAAGAGTTTCAATGCATTAAACCGTTCAACAAATACAACTTCAGGTAGAATTACGACAATCTTGACTCTTGAGTGATAACTTTGTCTTCCACAAGACAATAAATTTAGAACTTTAAATTCAGGTTGGAAGCAGAGCAGAACAAGGAAGTTGTGGACTATGCTTGGAACTTTTCTAAGACAGCACTCCCTGCTATTCCGCGCCCTGAATTTCAAGGTATTGCAGTTTTGCTATACAGTTCTTAATCAGTTAATGATGCATTTACATGCGTCACTGCACAGCCATAAATAAGCAAGACCCACTATAATGTAATGATAATACTCATTTCTTGACTTTCCGAAAGTGATTTTTTTGTTGCGTAGTACAAAAACCTGTTATGTTCATGGGCGATTTTATTTAACCATTGTATTTTGTGATGACTTCGTTAGATATGTAATATTCATGCGTTTTCTGCCACTGTATTGCATTTTTTTTTTTGTTCAGTTGCTATGAAAAGATGTCTACAGACAAAGAAGGAGTGAGTGAGTGAGTTAAGATTTAAAGTCACATCGGCAATATTTCAGCCATATCGTGACTAAAACGAGTTCTAAATTTGTAATACAGACATATAATATATAAAACCCTGTCAACGAAGGACAGTAAAAATACTAGATAATCACAGCTATCAATATAAAACTAGCGAACAAAGCTAAAACATTCCAATTAAAGAAGACAATACAAAGTAAAAATGGACTATAGATCGCCAACAACTGAAGGTAGATCACCATAGTAGGGACCATGGGGACTTACAGTGCCTTTGCTACCTGCATGGACCCTAGCTGGATTTACACCATCCCTTCAGCCATTGACGACAGAAGAGAAATCTAGCCATAAATTAAAAACACACTTATTCTACGATTAGAAAGCAGGTACACTTAAATTGACTTTGAAAGTTTTGGGACTTACGTACCCCCTCAGGAGGACAATAATTTTACGCTACGTCAACCCCCTTTGAGGGTACAGCCACTAACAATCTCAGTTTCTAATCTTAACTACCAATAATAAAATATATACCTATTTACAAATCAGTCAACAAATCTAGTTTTTTTAAAAATGCAAGAATTAAACGAGAATTGACATTATTAAAAAGATCCTTCAGTGTTTTGGATGTGAAATAGATATCCCTTGTGATGGCATATTCGATGCAGTCAAGCAAGACATGCTTGACTGTGATCCTTCATCACAAAGGGATACAAAACGGAGGATCTTCGCCGTTCAATAAATATTCATGAGTATATCTGGTGTGGCCAATGCGACATCGTCATATAATGACCTCTTCAAATCTGGACTGACAACCCAAGTAGGTATAACCAATGTAGGGTTTTATTGCATGTAATTTATTAATACCTACTTGTGTGTCCCACTTCTTCTGCATTAGATCGCGGATGGATGTTCTAATGCTTGCTTTGTAATCAGAGTAAGGAATAAGAAGGGGTGTCACAGATTTGTTGAGTGCTGCCTTAGCAGCAAGATCGGCCATTGTATTCCCAGAAATGCCAACGTGGCTGGGTAACCAACAAAAGACGATGTCGCATTGGCCTGTTGCAAGCTCATTATATAATTCAATAATTTCTAATAAAAGTGGATGTTTACAAGAAATATTTTTAATAGCCTGAAGGCAAGAAAGTGAGTCAGAAAAGATGATATATTGTTGATATTTAGGGTGTGTTTTAATATATTTTAAGGCTGTTAATATGGCGTTTGCTTCTGCTGTAAAAATAGAGCTGTTATCTGGTAAACGAGAAGAGATGGTTCTGGATCCAATGACAGTGGCACATGACACCGCGCCACCATCCTTGGATCCATCTGTAAATAAGGATTTATATGTATTATATTTACTTTTAATTGATGATATTCTTGTTTATATTGTAATTCATTAGTTTCTGCTTTTAAATGCTGTTAATGTTAGGTCAACTTGTGGCCTAACCAATTGCCAAGGAGGAGAAGAAAGAAGACGGGAAGGAGCTATATTTTCCAGCTCAATGCCGGAAGCAGCAATAAATGGCTTAATTCTGAGCCCAAGAGGCGGAACAAGAGAAGGTTTTTGTAATACAAATCCTCATAAAGGGATGAAAGACACAGTGAAATGCAGGATTAGTCTCGTTAGAATATAATTTCGTAACATATTGTAAAGATAATTTTATACGGCGTTGGTTAAGAGAAGGTTCATCTGCCTCGACGTAAAGACTGTCAACAGGAGAGGTTCTAAAAGACCCAAGACAAAGTCTTAGGCCTTGGTGATGGACAGAATCCAGTAGTTTTAGGCTGCTTTTGCAGGCTCCACCATATACGATGGAGCCATAATCGAGTTTCGAGCGGACCAATGATCGATACAGGTGGAGGAGGGTAGCTTGATCCCCTCCCCACTTTGAGTTTGAAACAACTTTCAACAAATCGAGTGCCTTCAGGCATTTGGCTTTCAGTGATTTAATATGTGGCAAAAAAGTTAAATGGGAGTCGAAGATTAGACCCAAGAATTTGGCCTCCTTCACAACTTTGATGGGAGTGCCATTTAAAGATAGTTCTGGATCTTTATGCGGTTTATATTTTCTACAAAAGTGTAGACAATTAGTTTTGGATTTGGAAAATTTAAAACCGTTTTCAAGACACCATTTATTTATTTTATTTAAACACAACTGCAATTGCCGTTCAATAGTATGCATATTTTTCCCACGACAAGAAATGTTAAAATCATCCACAAAAAGTGATCCATCAATGGAATCGTTTAAAACCTTGGATAAACTGTTAATCTTGATACTAAATAAAGTGACAGACAAAATACTGCCTTGCGGGACACCCTGATCCTGATTGTAATGATCAGAGAGGGTTGAACCCACTCGGACTTGAAATTGTCTGTCTTTCAAAAACCGTGATATAAAAAGAGGCAAACGGCCTCTCAAACCAAAGTCATGTAAATCCCTCAAAATGCCATGCTTCCAGGTCGTATCATAAGCTTTCTCGAGATCAAAGAATATCGATACGGCATGTTGTTTATTTACGATTGCATTTTTAACAAAGGATTCTAATCGTACCAAATGATCAATGGTACTTCGATTTTTCCTGAAACCACATTGAATATTGGTTATAAGGTTGTTGGTTTCAAGATACCAAGTTAATCTATTATTCACCATACGTTCCATGGTTTTACAGACACAGCTAGTTAGAGATATTGGTCTGTAATTAGACGGATCTGTATGATCCTTGCCAGGTTTTGGTATTGGGACTACAATGGCATTACGCCATGAAGGAGGAAAGTCTCCAGACGTCCATATTTTGTCAAATATATCTAAAAGTGTCATCAGACATGGTTCCGGTAAGTGTTTCAGTAGCTGGTAATGTATATTGTCATCACCCGCTGCAGTGTCATGAGCTTGCTCAAGAGCAGTATGTAGCTCATGTAATGAAAACACTTCATTATAATCTTCACCGTTATTTGAGTCGAAATTAAGTTTGGTCTTTTCCTTTTGTTTCTGATATCTCTGAAACTCAGGGACATAATTTGCCGATGATGAATTTTTGGCAAGGGTTTCGCCAATTTTATTTGCAATATCAGTTTTATCAGTTATCAAGTTATCACCATCTTTAAGATGGTGTACAGCTGATTTTGAACCTTTGCCTTTTATTCGCTGAACCATGTTCCAAACCTTAGACATTGGCGTGCGTGAATTAATTTTGGAGACATAATTTCTCCAAGATTGTCGTTTGTTTTGTTTAAAGGTACGACGCGCCTTTGCATTGAGTATTTTAAATTTATTTAAGTTATGGACAGTTGGATGATGTCGGAAATAACACTCTGCCTTTTTCCTCGGTTTTGCTGGCTTGTCTACAATCTGTATTAAACCATGGTTTTCGTACATGTGGAGTCGTAGAGGACTTGGGTATACACTCATCAGCTATTTCATTTAAAACATCAGAAAAGGTTTGAATGGGATCAGTTATATCACTGAAACAATCAGGTCGCAGTTTTGATTTACAGTTAGTTTGAAATGAAGACCAGTTAGCCTTCGAAAAGTTCCATCTTGTGTACGAAGGAGAATCAGATGGAGTTATTTCTGAAAGGATAGTTGGGAAGTGGTCACTTCCACAAAGGTCATTATGAACAGACCAATCAAATTCATTCAGGAGGTTAGAATCTGCAACAGATAAATCCAAAGAAGAATAAGTGCCAGTTGCAGGATGCAGATAGGTGCTTGAATCATCATTAAATATGCACAAGTCATTATTGGAAATGAAGTCTTCAATTATTTTACCTTTAGTATTAATGTTAGTACTGCCCCAGAGTGGGTTGTGACCGTTTAAGTCACCCATAATAACACATGGTTTCGGGAGTTGATCATAGAGTGATTGAAGATCAGTCAGCTGAAGTGTCGATGAAGGCGGGATATACAGAGAACATAACGTAAATGCTACACCCAGAGTAAGTCGCACTGCAACAGCTTGGAGATTAGTGTTAAGAGTAACAGGGCTGTGAATAACATTGTCGTATAAGGATAGTAGAACCTCCAGTGGCTCTATCACCTGGAGGGGAAAAATAATGATACGGTTCAAACTGACGTAAGTTAAAATTATCTGTCTGTTTCAGATACGTCTCTTGCAGACAGAACGCTGATGGTGTTAAATCCTGGATTAATAGCTGTATTTCATTAAAATTTGTCCGGAGTCCTCTACAGTTCCACTGCACGATATTGGTAGATAGACCTATCTTTTAGGGGGATTAATTGGGGATCTACCCCGCACCGTTTTCGAGGGCGACAAGCTATGTGCCCTAGAATGGACGTTTTCGGACACGTCCATGTCCTCAAGTGATCCGTATTTGTTAAACAATTTGATTTTATCATCTGCCTTTTGGGGGGCTCTGCCACTTTGTTTCTTCAAAGCATCTGGCTTTGGTTTGCCTTTGTTTTTAACTATTTGTTGAACGTTTGACGTTAATTTTGACCTTTGATTCGACTGAGAAGATGTGTCACGGTCATAAGATGGTTCTGATTGGAGTTGGGGTGTGTCAGGAAGTGTATCTGCAGTTTGTGTAGATATTGCAGGTGACAAAATCTGCGGAGAATCTGTTTTTATCCAAGTCAAGTTCGTCTGACAGCTGACAGATGATGTAGTTACTGATGGATTCTCTCTGAAGACGTTTTGGCTTTAGAAGCATAAGTTTCCTGAATTTCCGATCTCAAGACAAGCTTTTTGGCATCAGCAAAACTGATATTTTGAGTAAACTTGATCTTATTTATCTCCATCTGCTGTTTCCAAATGGGACAATCTTTTGAGAACGATGAGTGATCACCTGCGCAATTGGTACACTTCTTAAAGGTACTGACACAATCTTCTGTTGTATGCGTCTTCTCACCACAGTGAGCACACACAACAGACAATGTGCAAGTATTAACACCGTGTCCGTATTTCTGACATTTGAAACACCGCAGAGGACTTGGGATGTACACATCAACTTTTACATTGCAGTAACCTGCCTTGACTGATGGTGGAGGATTCGGGGCAGAGAAAGAAAGAGATATGTATTGGTTTGCACAGTTTCATTATTTTACGGGTTGTAAACCTTTTCACGTAAAGGACTCCTTGATCTTTCATCTCCGTGACAATGTCAATTTCCGTCATATCAGCAAAGAGACGATCTCGGTCTCGTACAATACCCTTACTGGTGTTAAGTGTTCTGTGTGCAGAGACCATAACCGGAACTCCGACAAAAAGCTCTGTGGACAGCAGGTTAGTTGCTTGCTGCTTTCTGTGACACTCGAGCAATAGAGCTCCTGTACGCAAGCGTTTAACGTTTTCATTTCACCTGCTATGCCGTGGATACCTTTTGATACCGCAAACGGATTGAGCTTCAATGGAGTTTTATCAAGAGTCTCAAGAACGAGGAAACGTGGCCAGTAATCAACGGATTTTGAGGGTCGGTGTTCGTCATCATCAGTATCGAGTGGACGCTTCGTTTTTTTGTTTGGGGTTTCGTAAGCCATGTTGAGTTTATTGTGATTCGTCATCCGAGCTCCCCACCCACCATGGAGTATCATAAAGACAATGCTGATCGCAAGTGGATTTCCAACCTGCAGCACCAAGGATACCCGGATGATATACTCAAGCAGAATAATCAACAAGTAATTATTCCACCAGATTGGCCCATGAGCCACTGCCTTCTGGACATAGGACTCTAGGCAACATATTAAATTGGAGTTGTACAGTCAAAATACAAATATAATATCATAGAGCCGAGACACCTGACAAAATGATTCTAAATAATTTTCAAAATTTGTACAGCAAAATTTACATGTACAGGGCTTAGCATGACCAGCCGATTGATAGAACCGGGCCAGTTCTACCACCCGTCTAGGTGAAGTAAGGGGCGAAGTGGTGTGTTGGGCAAAGGAACACTGTTCCTGGAACCAGTGCCCTCAACCACCAGCCTCCCGTCCTCCACCGACACAGGGGCGCAACCCACGGCAAACAGGTTGGTGGACCAAATATCCCCCCGGGTCCACAACGGGGGGTTGAAAGGCGCTTAGCGTTACCCAGCACCCACCACGAGGAGGTGGCCTTTCATGGGTGCCAGACAAAGAAGGAAAGGGCCTCAAGACAGAAATGTGGCAGCCGAACAAAGCGGAATGATGACATGAGAAAATACTCCAGAAAATCTACAGTAAGTAAAAATAAAAACACAACAAGGTGTCCTAACTGACTTGACTCACTCATCAATTAACATGTTAATTGATGAACCTTAACTGACATGACTCACTCATCACTCAACAAGGGATTAGGCCTTGTCAATTAGTGAATCTTAACTGAAATGACTCACTTATCAATTAACAAGGGATTATGTATTGTTAAACATTGAGTTTTGTTAGAGGCTGAACATGTCCAATAAATATTAACTATTAACTGTGTTCAAATCCACTAAACATGCAACTATCGATATTACTGACCATAAGATTATCAGAATAGCCATTAATTCAATTATCACGTTGGTTTTACACTCACTTTACCTATATGGAAATATAAGTATGAGCATATTGGTTTGTTTTCTTCAGAAGAGTCGTAACAGAGTGAAGGGTATTCGAAAAGCTGACCTCCCCAGCCACAAAAAGACCAAGTATGAAGAGGCTTTGAAGAATGTTCAACTCATGTCATCGGAAGAAAGTGATATTGACGACGGTGGCTTCAGATATTTTATTGTGCGACCGAAGGTCGAGTCACGAGAACTGATGTCAGCAAAGAGGCTTTGCTGATGAAACTTTTCAACAGTTGCAAGGTCAAGGGGCCATCCCAAAGGCAAGGCGTGTCCGTGGACCACCGTCCAAAACCAACATCCCAAGAATGATTAATGATCTGTCATGGGTCAACACTGAGTATGGAATGTTTTAGATAAGTGGAGAAAGTTTACGTCGCTTTTAACAATGTTCCAGCAATAATTAATTAAGTTGACGTGTCTGGTGGCCGGTGTATAATATATAGTATAATATATCTTCTATAATATATATATTATATAGGATGAAATAGATCAGATCATTATAATAGCATAAATGACGCTTTAATGTATATATAATGCCATTATAATGATCTGATCTATTTCATCCTAAATAGTTTTTCTTTCATCCAATGTTTTGAAGCTCAAATGATAACATGGAAGTGTTACTATTCCAATCCATTCTTCAAATGGTCCAACAATATAGTCATTATGGTTACCACCGGCCTGCTGTTTAATTACTATCAAGTTGGATGATATATTAAATTATGCGCACAAACCCACACAAAATATCTGTGATTTGTGAATTCTGTTTTGACAAGGAAATATAAGAATCATTATATAAACTATGTTCCTCCCTCTGAGAGGAGCATGACATTATTTATTCATTTTTGATAATTTTATTTGCATAATAATGGGGCTATCAAAAATTGAAACAAACTCCTGTATACTACCATTGCGCCAATATTGCGATATTGACCATGGAACAATGTTAAAGGTCACATGCAACGTAAAATACAACTTTGCAGATTCTGATACCTTTTGGTATGGAGTTACCGAAACAAATCATAAAATGCAAATTCAACTTATAAAGTTGTTAAAAACGCGATTAAAAAGCCCGCGAAATCGGAGTTCAAACGATTCACTGAATTTCCCCCGAAACTGGGGGAAAACTGGTTTCAACAGCTGCGCTGCTCTCATAACGCATGCGCAGTGAATAGGTTCGCGGAGCTTGAAATAAGATGCATATATCCTGATTATATGTAGGCCTACACAAAGAAGTAAATAATGTACTCGTTACATAAAATAACATATTGATTGCAAACAAAACTCAATGTCTGTTTCATTAACACCTATATGTCTGCCTGCCTGCCTGTCTGCTAATGACAATATGCAATACACATCTTCAATCACTGACCACATGCAATTTGAACTTAACGCGTATCGGGCCATAAACACAGGTAAATGAGCCAATAAAATCATCTCCGTTACAGTTGAGTGCACGCACACTGGCTCAGACTGGGTTCGGTATCCCGGCTATCACTGACTGCTTCGTTTCGAGAGAAGTAAACCGAAGTATAAAATATTGCACTTTTGATTTGCGATTATGGGCTTATAATTTGTTTATTTGTTTTTTCTTAAGCAGCAATGCATTGTATATATCATGAATAAGTGAAAACTGTGTTTTAATTATGTTCGATTTTTTGTTGCATGTGACCTTTAAGTTCAGTCGGTTAAAATGCCAGGTTCCTCGTTCACACATACATAGAAACTAAAACCTTATCACACAAACCAAATGCAAGATGTCCTCGTTTAGAAAGCAAAGCGAATTTTAACAGATCAAGTCATCCTAAGATGGCAAGAAGATAAACGTTCCAGCCCTAAGGGGTTTCTATATTCAATATTTAAAACCCACTGTCTTTTTGAAAATACCTTCTATTTCCAAAATCTATACATGACCCTATTTTGAAGTTTAGAACCTCAAATTTAAATCTTACAATCGAAACTGGCAGATGGCAGAACATACCGAGAGAAGAAAGATTATGTAGACTATGTAATTGCAACTTAGTTGGTGACGAATTTCATTATCTTTTTAAATGCACGTCACTTAATTCTTACAGAAAATCAAAGCTAAGCAAGCTAAGCAACTATTAGCAAGGTCATATCACCTGTCAATTTTAAACTTAGCAACTGTCTATCACTTTTTATCTCTCATTTGTATAAATTGTTACATAAATAACTCATCATCATGACGCATGTCCATATGTATACACATTTGTAAATATTGTATAGTTAAATGCTCTTGTACCACCGATGGTGGTTTTATGAGAATAAAGAAGTTGAAGTTGTAAGAGGCATATAAACTGGGAACTGGGTTATCCTTCCAGAGGCTGTTTTAACTGTTCACTTGCTAATTAACAAGACAGCAGGCCTTGTTAATTGGTGAATCTTAACGGCCTTGATAAGGTCGTTGGGCGTACATTTACCATCACCCATCGGTTATCTCCCCTTGTGGACATATAAAAATTGGAAATTAATCAACATACAACCAAGTTGAACCAACTTGTTTATGCTGAAAGATGTACATCGAAATGTATGCAATAATCAGGTATTGTTACCACATACGTGGTATGATGCCTTATGTATCCCCATACTGTTTAATGCAGTATAAGTGAAATCTGCTTCAGTGTGCCAATGACCGATCTATTGAAGTTTTACTTTAGTGAATGCTACCTAACAAAATGATCTGAGATTAAACGTCTCACTGAAAATTTGTGTAATCTTATCTCAGGTACTAAGAAATACTGAATGTTTACGTAATACATATAAATCTACCGGTACCAGGTTGATGTGTCTGGCCATGAGTAAACTAACAATGTCATAGTGATTATATCATTTTAATTTCACCATTACATGAGTCATTAAAGCCTCATTTATGCCATTATAATGTTCTCTGATCCATTTCATCATAAATAGTAATTATTTCATTCAATGTTTAGAGGCGCAAATGATAACCTGAAAATGTTGCTGTTCAAGTTCATTTTGTAGCGTGATATTATTCAGTGGTCCAACCAGTATAGTCATAAAGGCTACAAACAGCCTGATTTTAATGACTATCAAGTTGTTAATTGGTTAATCTACGGCCTTGATTCGCTCATCAAGTAACGAGGGTCAGGTCTTTCGGCGTACATTTACCATCACCCACCAGTTATCTCCCCTTGTGCACATATCCAATAATTGGAAACGTATGGATATCTCATGTATCCATTTTGGATATGTCTTGGAAACATCATCTTTCCAAGATTGGAAATGTCTTGGAAACATCATCTTTCCAAGACATTTCCAAGCTTGGAAACATGCATTTTTTTTCCAGTGTAACGACACGAGTGTTACATAGGAAATGGTCCATATTGTGCCTTGAGCACCAAGCATGAACATTTCACTGGTAATAGGTAACAGATTAGTTGTTATTGGGGTGACTAAGCTAAAGAATGACTAAGCTTTAAGCCCACAATGTGTCCTCTCTAAGTATAGGTTGAAACGTCCACACTCTTGTCACCAAGACAACGGATAATTATGTAGGATCATTAATTCTGTTGACAAAGTGCATGCGGTCTCACGGTCACTTTCATCTAGTATAATTGAGAAGACCATCGCCTCCGGAATACACCGTATAAACATTTTGACTGAAGAAAGATAGAAATGAGTCCAGGTTTCAGTATCTGGCAGTGTATTTAATCTGTAATGATGTCCTGTTTCTACAGGGAAATAGGAAGGTATTCACCTCATGTATAAGAGGATTGTATATTGAGGAAGTTATCTGGTACAATGGTATGTACACAAACTCTAATGCAGCAACAGTGAAATGCGTGTAGAAACTAAACCTCGGTGCTGTGAGTTATACAAGTCGAGGTCGTCCGCATCCTGTGAGTTTGGATAAGCAAGACATGTGCACGACTAGGCTTTGTATGCACTTATGTGCTAATAGTAGGGCAGGATACGCCTACATGTTTCTAACACCTGGTATCATCACTTACTGTTTCGTAGTGATTGATAACCACAGTCATATTACACTAGTAGCATAACTGAAATTGTAGCTCGGGAGATAAAAAGGAGTGGTTCCACTCCCCGTCACAAGAGATCACTTCAAAAAGGTTTCCCCGTAACCCGAAGTAAACAGAAGTTTGAGTTTCAGCAGTGACATTTTATGGTCTTGTGTAGCCAAATCGGCAAAAATGGTGCATTTAGCTGCGACAATCCACGTCCATGACGCTGGCTAGAATTCTTTCGTTGTAGTTCGAGCCCCGTATTTGCTCTGACTATGGTCATAGTTTGTTAGAACCATACCCAGGCTTTATTTCCATATGACAATAGTCCATTAGTTTCATACACTGGAGAGTAAATACTGTCAGGTTGTGAGCCCAAACTTGACAAATATTTCCCTTTACAAATCTCTAAATGTGTGTATGCTGAATACTGTTGCGCTAAAAGAGTCAATATTTCCTGTTCATAATTACACATAGGCTAATGTGCTTCACTCACAGCCATCTTTGCACAATACGGAATTAACTCCTTTGCATAATGTTTAAGAGATTTCCGCTGTAGTTTTATGTGTCAGAGTTTGTGTTCAATACCACATTGCTATACCCGTCGATGATTCTACAGTTGGTGTGCGTAAGTTTTACTTTTGTGTCAATGATTTGGCGACTGTCTTATATCTATATATTTCAGATGCACTGATTCTCTGCCACACTTTTGTAAGCATTTTTACGTTAACTATGGCAATGCATTTCATTATTCTAATTTGCAGTTCTCACAATTCAAAAATGTCCTGGTCACTCGTTTCACACACATATAGTAACAAATTCGATTTACATTAACATCTTTTTGAATAATTGATTTTGAAAGAACCAGACAATCCAGTGACTGACATCATGAGCATCGATCTACGTATTTGGGATACGATGCCATGTGTCTCCCAAGTAAGCAAGCCTGACCACCCGATCTTGTTCGACTCCTTTAACTACAAGCATGAATTGCTGAAACACCAATTCCAATCCGGACCAGTACAATGGATATTGTACTGTGGACATTGTCTCTTCCTTGTTGTCATACAAACTGTATTTGTGCTGTATGTTCAATTTGGAAGGACGTGGAATGCAACTGAAGAAAACAGATATACACACCTGCATTACCTCTCTTCAGTATATCATGAGAATACAGGGTGTGCTACAATTAGAAGCAAATATAACGATCAACAATGAATTGATTAAAACGTTTATATCAAGACTTATTTCTGTAAGATAGGCTAGTGTGTGTGCTTTGTGCATCGTGATATCAGGGCTGCCCATGTCTTTTCAAACCGGATAAATTTCTTACACCAGGAAACCAAAACAAGGTTATTTAAATCACATCGGGTCAGAGAGAGTTTCTGGTCCTTGTTTGTTGAATAGCAAGCTGTTTCTTGTCACCATGGAAGCCTGAACATGCAGATCAAGGATTTTGAAACGACGTGTGCACTGATGATACCCACTTGACAGAGAGGAAAGCAGTTCACATACACGACAAACATTAATAAACATAGGTATGATTTGATGAATGTAACACGGAGCCGTTGTGAACATATCGCGGACATGGTATAGCGCTGAGACTCCCTCTACCGGGTTTAAATATTATAAAATAGAATCTCAAGATAACAATGGACACTAGCAACGGTCGCTGCACGAATGTATTTGAGGGCGTGCGTGCGTGCGTGCGTGTTTGTTCGTGCGTGCGTGTGTGTGCCCATGCGTTTGTACGTGCGAGTATATACAGATGTGTGTGTTCACATGTTTATGTATGTGTGCGGAGGAGAATGTATGTATATATTTGTGAATGTGAGTGCTTGAGTGCCAAGACCGGTGGCTGCGAATAAGTGATAGTGAATCAATAGTTCTGATGCTGGTTTTACAAGTTATATGTAAGTGGGAAAGCATGTGAATACGTACTGGAGTCTGTGAGTTCATGTTCATCCAAGTGAATGTATGCGTGTGCGTGAGAACATACGCGTTCGTGTGTTTTTGCATGTGTGTACGTACATTCTGTTGCGAGGATCCGTTTCTAACAATCTTTAACCTTAAAAGCCGACCGACCTAAATATCCCTCCATCAGTTGCTGTACGGGTTTGTGCTGTGCACGGTTACCATGCAATGATAACTGTTACCGTCGATGCTCAAGCATTCAAGTTTAAAAATATATTACAGTTTCCTTCTAATATTCAGAAGCCCTATACAGTTTAATGTTACACATATATTATATGTTTCAGCACTGTTAACCTCATGTGAGATAAAACTGCGTGAATATGGACGATACTGACACACTTTCAGAGGGACGGATGTCATGTGTTTGATTCTGTTCTACTTGACGTGTCAGTTCATGTGGGGAGTCTGGTTCAACCCAACTTTGAACACGTGCCAGTTACGTAGTTGTTAGATTCATACGTAACACAAGCCATGTTTCGGATTTCAAATTTAAAACGGCTCTGTGTGTTCAAAGTTGTTAGGTAGTTGGTTCGATTCCGAGGTTCTACTATTAAGTTCACTGGTGTGTCGGGCGGTGTGGTAGCCTAGTGCTTAAAGCTTTCGTTCGTCCCTCTAAAGATCCAGGTTCGATTCCCCACATGGGTACAATGTGTGAAGCCCATTTCTGGTGTCATCCGTCGGGATATTACTGCCAAAATATATTGCCAAAAGTAGCTAAAAACGTAACTCACTCACTCACTCATTGGTGTGTCGGCACCATATCGACACTCGTAGGTTTCCCTGTACATAGACTGCGTCACACGCATTGACCTGACGTGGTGTCATAGACCTGAAACATTTGTCAGTCTCTCCAGCACAGAACGGTGGATACATAATCAGTGGTTTGTTATTACTGACCAAACGTTTGTTTGTTTCTTTGCTTGTTTGTATTGCCGAACTCAGCAATATTACAGGTATATGACGGTAGATAATCTAGTCTGGGCCACACTATCCAGTGATTGACACTATGAGCATCGATCTATGCAGTTGGGATACGAAGACATGCGTCGACCAAGTATGCGGGCCTGACCGACCATATGTTGCTAAAGACGAATTTCTAACCCGGGTCGTCACGGGTCTACTGACAAAACGCTCGGAAATAGGATACAGGGGCAAGATTGGTAAACATTTCTTTGTCACGTAGGAAACAAAAGTGTGCTGATTGTCACCAACATCATTATGATTTGCTCAATGCAGGAAAAGTAAGTTATTTATACCAGAGCTTAGTTAGGCGCGTTTTGTACAGCAGGTGCCCCATGCACAAACGGATGAATCCATTTCCAATGAACAGAGAACTGCTGGTGTGTGACGGAATGCACGTGGAGATCATGCCCTGCTATTTTAGTCAGCAAGCAAACACACACTCTACTGGGACATGTTATAGAGTAACTGGTCACATCTGCATTTACATAACCTGGGGTATTTCACGATTGTTAGGTAGGAACCATGTATTGGACATCTCTTAGTATTTATTCTTAACCAAATCGATATTTTAATGCTGGTATTTGTTTGTGTTCTCTGACCTGTCCAAATCAATCACCAAAGTAGAGTTTTCGTGTACATTAATTAATCTGCCAATTAATATTTATTGCCACTCTGAAAAAAACTTCCCGTTTCTGAAATATTACGTCCTTGTTTTTGTCAGTAGGGCTATTTCTGATTTTGTGTGTTATTTCCTTTGCCCTCTTACTGGACGTGTGTTCAATCCACCTTGTTTTGATATTACAACAGCTACATACACAATCTTGAAAACGACGTTTCCAGATTACTGGAAGTTCACGTTAAGCTTTCAATACCTCTTGAAACATGTTGTAACTTTAGTTTTATATATTTGATTGTAATTAACAGTCTTGGCTCTGCACTTGACTGAGCAGGAAACTAAACGAAAATAAAATTAAAATGATAAAACAACTGCCCACAGTGTCTCAAGATCTTATGTGAAAGTTAAACAAGGACACGGTTAACGAATGCCCATATTGCTTCTTTCCAATATATGTGTAAAATATAAAGGGGTGCGTTGTGTGCCACAGCAGACTTTGACATACGAAATTAGGACTAAGTGTTTACATCTATTCTTTGATAGATTTACTTTGGTATTATTCTGATATCAAATGCGTGATGTATAGCTACATGACTACGGCACTCAAAGCAGCAGAACTCCTCACTTGTGAAATCTGCCGATATTTTACACGACAGTTGCCTGATTTGAACTTTTATACATTATGAAGTCTAAATTGAGATTAATTTCCCTATTTTGTTTTCGCATCTCAGCAAATGTATTTATGAGCAGGTTGCTAGCAGCTGCTATGTTTCGACACAAGATTCAATGTCCGCGTTGCCTTTTAGTTGAACGATATGTCATTATAATGATGAATATAACATGTGAGTGATGAGTTTTGGTGATCCATTCATAACATGCTTCTTAGGGTTCACGGGAAGGATTCAACTCCATTTGAAAAACTGTAATGGTTTTCTACCTGAGGTAGTGTTAATATACATGAACATGTTATGGAGAGAGAATATTGATGATCCCAATAGGTGCGGAGGACAAAGCCTAGTTGTCGAACTGACGTCATCACTGATTGAACTGTTATTGACTTAGCTATTGCTTGTTGTGTAATTTCACTGAGGACGATAGTGTATTAGATGGGTATTCCTACATTGTACACGGAAGGTTAGATAGTAAAAAAATCACGTAACCGTTTCACGTTTGGATCAGTTTACAAGTATGAATACACAATATGTTAAATGTAACATATGTTGTATTTTGGATTGCTCGTCCTCGGTAAAGTACAGAATGCTGATACTTTCTGTTAATTTGGATTCCATTCGGGATTCGAACTCACACTCTCACACCCACATCAAATTCCAGCACACAAAGTCAGCAATCTAGCCCACTCTGCCACCGTTCTTCCACTACAAAGTAGGTGTGGCAAATGGTAGTCTACATCACGTTCAGTGTACTCCACTGACAAGTGTAAATTGGCACGACTCGCTCGGCCGGAAGCCATGGATAAACAACGCCATTTAGAAAGTGGTCCCTACTGACAAGAGTAAATTCGAATGCAACTCAACCTAACAAAAAGTACTAGAATTGCGAACTTCATTGAGAGACTGTTATCCCAAATAAAACACAGCTTTCGAACATTCCCCATCTATTCGTTTTCAAAATCTGTGTGGAGCATGAATACTCAAAAGTCTGAAAGACTGATTTGGAGACGGAAATGTTTCTGAAGATCTTTTTTGTATATGTTAATTTCGCTTTTAAAAGGTTCATCCACGTAATTCATTTCACAGAGACGACGGTATGGGGCACTGGAAGTGGTGTGCTTGGATTGGGTACATACATATGCTGATTCTAGCTGGAGGTACGCCAGGTAAGTTTCAATAAGAGTAACATTTCGAATTAACAATCACTATATTTGATGTGAGGTGATAAAGACTTGAGTGATATTGCGTCGAATATTTTTACTCAATATGGCAACGTGCCATGCCATATGTTATCGCATTCTAAAAACGTGCACATTTGAAATAACCGGTTTCAACAATGTCCCAGTCTTTCAATGTACATATGCCAAGCTTTGTAATGTAACATAGTGTACCTGGATAGCATGGATTGGCCGGTGGTTATGTGTCCTAGATTAACCTCTGGTGAGATCGGACTGTGTTGTCACCATGCGTATGACCAGAAAACGCGTATCATAATTTCTTCCCTAGGATAAATAGCAAAATGTTGTAAACGGGGTGAAATGAAATAGCTCAGAGTGTTATATATCACCGTCGTTAAAGTCAGGAATGCACAATGCCATTTAGAAAGTGGTCAAATGTAGCATATTTTATATTTTGGGTTACACTTTCTTAGATATTCTAGTACTTTTGTAGTGTTGAGTCCCATCCGGGATTCAAACCCACATACCTGAGAAAGCGATAGAGCGAGAAAGCGATAGAGCGAGAAAGCGATATTTCACATAATCTTGCCCTGTCTGCACATGACGTCTTTCCTGCGTATGATTTAATCCAACAGAAGGCTTTATCGCCATTTGTTTTAGTCGTATAGAAACAAAATGAACATGCATGCTTTCAAATTCTGTGGCATTTTTGTAATTAATCCTTTAACTTGTCCAAACAATAACCCAACAATAACTCGTGAAACAGAGAGTGATTTCGTTGAAATAAAGGAGTGCTTTTAAAAAGTCTGTAAAAAGGATAACAATCATTATTGTTACATCACTAATTAGGCCTGGATAAATTCCAGGCTTACATTTCTTTATTGTCATTTCCTTGTTAAATGCCACCATTGTTATCTCATCATTCATGCCGGGATAAACAATCTCTGGCTTCCATTTTGTCCATCCACCCTACCAATTTACCAATAATTAACAACTGGCTTCCCTTCTTATCTTATCACTGTTGTTTTAAATGTACGTATATAGGTTTCTGTTTCCTAGTTTCTTCATCAACCTGATGAAGGAATAAGAAAATACTCCGTAACATCGTGTTCAACAAATACAGAAGTTGACATCCATAAATTTCTTTAGGTATTTTACCAGTAATATTTTTTGGGGCTAAAACTACATATTTGCCTACTCCCCATGTTACCCGTGAAGATCCGGGTTAGATTGATCTTCAACAACTCATGCTTGTCGTAAAAGGTGACTAACGGGATCGGGTGGTCAGGCTCGCTGACTTGGATGACACATGTCATCGTAACCCAACTGAATAGATCGATGTTCATGATGTTGATCACTGGCTTGTCTGGTCCAGACTCGATTATTTACAGACCGCCGTCATATAGCTGGTACAGTGCCGAGTGCGGTGTTAAACAATAAACCAAACCAACTCCCAATGTCACTTAACGTTGCCAAAATCCTATATTGTATTCTCTCTCGACGTCGGGCTTTATTGGTTTAAACATTTATTTCCAAAAGAGGAACCGGATTGGTAAACAAGCAGTACGGTGCTTATCTGAATACCGCTCCTGAATACAGATAAGTTATAGATAATAATAATCGTACGGAGAAAAACATGATATTAACAAACGATAAACAATAGCTTTCTGGAAATGTAACAATCATAAACTGTAACATAGCCGCTTTTAACGTTAGATCCATTAGTGTCGGAAAATATACTTAATAGTAAGTGCAATTTCGTTTTATATTACAACACAAATCTGCCTGACAGTACAATGAAAGAATGGATAGATTCTAATAATTCAAGATTACCTTTAGTAGATCCATGAGAGTGGCCGTATAGTATTGATTTGATGTCATAACCTTTAGTATAGAAGTGCATTTTATGTCTTATGTCAGTGTAATTAACGCACGAAAAGAAATAGTGAATTGGATCTTCGTAACAGTAGCCACAAGAACAAGAGGGATTTGAAGATATAAATCGTTGATATTTATGTGCGTTTAAATCGCTGCAACCGAGCCTGAGGCGTGAATGGATAATCTGACAGAATCTTGTTCCAAATCTTAAATTGAAGTAGTTTTGACTATTATTATTATTTGACCCATTAATCTGTTTCTTAAAACTACCCAAAGTAGCCGTTTCTCTATAATCGGTAGACAAACAATTCCACAATCTTACTGTATCTGGGAGAAATGACTTAGCATAACTTGCACTTTTACTATCGATAGTTTGAGCTTCAAACGGTCTCGGAAAATGTAGCTTGTTGTGTCAGATACCTTAGGAGGGACGAGGTCGCTCAGATATTTTGGAGTTAAATTATTAACCATCTTATTGAAAAACGTTAGTTTTGGATGTATCTTCGACTACATAGTGGTTGGAAATTTGTCTCATTATAAATTTTGTTGAGACTCGTGCCGCCAACAGCACCGTAAATAGTTCTAAGTGCATCAAGATTAAGTTTTCCAGTGTTAGTGCTTGCTGTTTGGTACAATTGTCCCAGATGTGACAACAATAGTCGAAAATAGGTAAGATATATTGTTTGTACATTGTTCGTAAAGTTCTACGTGAGAGGCGATATTTAAAACCTCTAAGACAGTATACCATGGGTGCAACCTTTTAGCGATACAGTTAACATGGTCAGTCCAGGAACAATCGTGCTGTAAAGTAAGTCCCAAATGTTTATGGCTATTAACGTCATTAATATTACCATCCTTCATTGTTAAGTTTCGTTTTGGGCTGGGTTGAACTTTACGAGAGAATTGTATAGAATCTGTTTTATTAGGATTAAATGCAACTTGCCATTTGTCAGCCCAACCAGAAATTGTACGTAGATCATTATTAAGAGACAGAGCAGTTTCATCAGGATCATTTATTATAGCATAAAGTGATGTGTCATCTGCGAAGAGATGTCGGGCTTTATTGTATCAGTGATAGAATTTTATACACCCTGTGTCTTTCATCTGGTCTTTTTATGTGTGTATATTTCAAACATATATTTCTACTACTATGTGACAAACATATTGTTCTAAATGTATGTGCCATAGTCTCTCATACTTCTACAAGAATGGCTTGTGTACATATACTTATATGTCTGTCTGTCCCCATAGCCCAACTATCGACTTTAGACAGTGCCACAATTCATCGACCCACGTGGTAGGTGTGTTTAACAAAACGTAATAAAATCATTACTTGGGTTATTTTTCCTTACTTAGGTATTTATATACACTTGCATCATTGTATTTATGGAGGTATATTGACTGTTGTGGATCATCTCGCCTTGATGAACACTACCAAACCAGGTGTCGTTCAAGTCCCAAAGAACGTCGGTATCCCTCATAATTACAGTGTCAAACGAGTGGAGAGTTACTGAACTATGGTGAATTCCTTTATTTCCAAACATGATAACACTTATCTTCCCTTTTCGACGGTTCCATCATATTGCATTTGAGAAAGAATGATGTGGCGAATCACCAAAACGAACCATTACATGGGAAGTTACATATGGACGGTTATGTAACACTGTGGTTATAGCGTTCACTTGTGACCCTGAGGACATGTGTGAAGCCCATTTCCGGTGTCCCACACCGCGATATTGCTAGTGTAGTGCTAAAAGCGGCATAAAACTAAACTCACTCACTCACTCGTTGTCGTTACATAGATTGCTCTATTTACCAGAATACATCACACAGCTAGAAACTGTCGTGTGTCCCATCGTGAAATGAAACTGCATCACCTCAAGAGGTAATTCCCTTTTCACCGGCTCATCTAGTCCCCTTAAGATCCAAATACTCACCAAGAGTTCACATAACGTTCATATTAAACAATTTCCACGATCACCCAAGTCTGAATTTCATTTCAGTTCCAGTTTTACTTGTGGTACACTTTGTCGCGTTTGTAAAGCCAAGGGACGTAACCCCGAATGATGCTTGGGACAGATGACGTGGGTACTCGGGACTATATAGTCTGAATGGATTGTTTTGTTATGATTCATGTAGCTGAAGTTATGTTTGTATCAACAAATATAACTACAATCCTAAGATGAACGGAAAGGTTGATGTGTACAGCATCTTGTTTACTTTATTCTTCCATACATGCTAAAAGAAACTTGGAGCCAATGCAAGGACTAAAGATGAGTCATTAATTCTGCCAGGATTCTGGAAACTAAAACAGTCAACCTGAATCTGTTTAGTTCATTAGTATCTTCATCTTATAAGCAAATACATGTCGGATGCTACAGATAGGGCGGTACATGTTTACCTTTTAGTTAACACCGGGTGTCATCGGTACACACTTACCCTTTTTGTAAAAAAGACCTGTGGTCATCACCGACTTTCATCAGTCCCATTATATTGCTTTTTCGGGAAGTTTTCCTTTCACACGAAACAAAATCGGTTTCTGTGGAAAGTCAAAGCATGGTGTTCTTATGTACGGACATCATATATTCACATGAGATGGATGTTATTGTCGAAATCCAAATACAACCACTCAGTCTTATCTTTACATAATGTAACCCCAAACCGGTATATCTTACTTTTTAATAGTTTATTTACATGACAAACAAGAGGTTTGTAGAAATATATAACAAGTAAAGTAATGAAGTCTACTATAATTGCTTGTACTGAAGTAAAATCACATTTGTGATTAAGTTAGTGCATGTTCCGATTCAGTGACGAAATCCAGAAAAGCTCAAAGGTATTTTCTCCATAATTCTTTAACACAAGTTGTAAAGCCAGTGGTTTGAACATACTAAGTGCAATGTAGGAAGGTGAACCAAGTTCTATGGATACTCAACTTCTTTATTGCAATGTGTGCGACGTTTCGGTGTAGGTACTAACACCGTTATCAAGCAAGCTGTAACATGGAGAATATAAACATGCCTGCACAACTGCCATTGACAAGGTTGATATCCATTGGATTACTAATTAGTGATTTGAGCAGAGTAGGTTGATGTATAGAGTGATAGTGATTAAAACAATATGCAGAATGAGTTTATACAATAGCTGAGTTGATGTACACTGAGATGGTAATGGTGAGTTGAAGAGGGTAGGTGGATGTACACATTGCTTGGTTGTGATTACAATACACAAAAGGGAGCACTGAAGCCAACTGGACGAGGTATGGGTGGATTACTGTGATCTTTAATTAGGTGGTGATAGGCTGAGGAGATAAAATAACCTTGTTCCCGGTTCATGGTGGGCTTGAAGAGTTGGATTTTTATGTCTTCAAGAAGTTTTCTAATCTTGTAGTCTGATCGGTTAGTTTCTAGGATGTGGATGTTGCCCCAAAGTTGGGGATGAGTTGCTGGTCTTCTAAAATGCCTCTCAAAGAAGTGCAATGTAGGATGTTGATTAATACCCACCTTCGACTGACAATATCCAAATACTAAAGAATAATGCAAGGCAAGGTAAGAAGTGTCAAGCTCTTTTTCAACAATAGAATTGTGCATGTGTAATGGACAACCAAGATGTCTTTGTCCACGACACCTATTAAGTCATAGCTGAACTCACAATTTGTTATGACAGATTTCCAACAACCGTACATCGCTGCACCAGACACAGCTCACGTGGACAGGAGTGTGACGTTGTCCTGCTATAGTGTCTACCGGTATCGTGGTGATGATGTAGACGCGTCCATTAACTGGAGGAAGAACGGTTTGCCGCTAGAAGAAAGCTCTGAATACAACATAAGACAGAGTCATGATCGGTGGACGGTACCATATACCATATATGACATCTACAGAAGTACCCTCACTGTCAGTGACGTGAACACAGCGAAGGGAGATAACTTCCAGTGTCAGGTTGTAATAGGACAGAGAGCGGCGTCAGGATGGAGTGAAGTGTATGTACTGGTTAAACAATGTAAGTGAATGATATTGAAATTCGGACGTAAGAAGTATTAAAAAATGTATTTGGCGTATCAGTTATAACATGGATATGGCAATTAAATATTTATGATAAAACCGCCCATTCACAAGGAAGTGACCTGAATTGTTCTCTCCTGTACTGTCACCACAAAGAGGAAAATGTTGAGTTGCCCTGAAATAGTTTGGTATTCATTGATAATTAAAGAATGTTGAATGTGTAACATTGTACTGATGTACAACATACAGACATGTCCATGTTTCACTGGAGCAAGGCAAAAATGTAAATATATATGCTATACTTGTGTTATTTCAGCTGCGCCTGGTGAAGACTACACAGTAATTCGTGAAGGACACAGTGCATTCATTACTTGGAAGATGCCGTTGGTTGATGCGGAGTTCTCTGTAAGGACACCTAAAGATACATGGCTCTTTGATATAAAATCATCTTGGTTCTACATCTGGAATTCCTACCGAACGAGAGTCTATATAACGCAGATAACAACGTCAGCTAATTCAGTCATCCTCCAGTTCTGGCTACACAATACAACACAAGAGGATGCGGGAAAATACCACTGTTCCACATGGTATGATGACGACCCCATTCCCAATTGTCAGCACATGCTGTATGTACAAGGTAGGTACAATAGCTCAAAAGCGTCATCATTGACGTATTTTTAAGTGATATAAAACTTCAAAACTTTTTTTAGTGTCATCTCAGTGATATAGCAATTCGTTTAAGTCACTATCCGAGTTCTTGCTAAAAATCTCTGTGCTTCTGTACAGCTGGCGTTATTAGAGGTTGTCTGACAGAACATTCCGGTCCATCAATCACTTAGTTGTCTGGTTTGTCTTGGCATGGCTATAGTATTGATGTCAGGCAAACACAGATTCATTTTAGGCATATCTTATGAATGGCGGCTGCTACCGGTAGGGCAGGACATGCTTATACCTTTTTTGTGAACACCTGGTGTCATCTCTGATTTTCAGCGATCCGTTGATACAACTTTCGCAGCTATTTTTCCCTTTACACTAAACTGAATGTCTTTTTGAGGTAGTCAAGACACGCTTTTTTATTTGACGTTTCGTGTTGAGCAATTTGATTTGATATTATATTTTATTAAGGAAAACCCGCTCACCCAAACTTCAGTGGCATTGTCAACACCACCAACATCGTTTTGACATGCGGAACCAACTCTTCCATTGTACCATGATCTTAGAATGATATACACGTGGAAGAGAAACGGACAAGAGGTTGTGATTGGTGGGAGGTTCCACTTCTCAGGACAAACCCTGTCTGTGACTGATGTGAAGAAAGAGGACCTGGGCAACTAATAATAATGTCTATTTATATTGCGCTGTGTTCCATCCACAGAGGTGCATGCTCAAGGCGCTACAATAGTCACAGATGAGAAGTTCACGGGAGGAGATAGTTCATGGGGACAGAACTTTCTAAAGAGAAAGGTTTTTAGTTTGGTTTTGAATGTCTCAAGGGTGGGGGATTCTTTAATGTTCTGAGGTAGTGGGTTCCATAACTGAGCTGCTGCTACTTGAAACGATCTGTTGCCGTAGGATTTTAGTCTTGAGTTTGGTACTGCAAGTAGGCATTGGTTTTCAGATCTTAGACGTCGTGAAGGCTGGTATGGTGAGATCAGTTCTGATAGATAACTCGGTGCTGTACCATTCAAACAGTTGTAGGCAAAACACAAGATCTTGAAGTGGATCCGGGCTTCTATTGGTAGCCAGTGTAGGGACATCAATACCGGTGTTATGTGGGATCTTTTTGGTGCACGACTCACGATACGAGCTGCCCTATTTTGTACCTTCTGGAGTTTGTTCAGCAGATCCTGACTCAAACCATACAACAGACTGTTGCTGTAGTCAATGCGGGACATCACAAGTTGTTGGACTAGTGTTTTTGTTACGTCCTTGGTAATAAGATGGCGGATATTACCAATACTTCTTAGATGGAAGTAGCAGGTCTGGCACACTTGATTAACTTGGGCTTCCATTGACAAGGGAGAATCAAAGATGACACCCAGGTTCTTTGCTACTACTCATGTCAATCTACAGAGGAAGGTCTTGCATCAAACTGGATTGATACAGTCGATTTCCACATGCTAGCAAGTAAATGCTGAATGCAAGAACTAGGCAGGTGAATCATAGAGCTGGCTTGGAGCTGATATCACAAATGTTCCATCATGTCTTCATCAACATGCAGACCTTCAATGACAAATAAATTGTGTTCAGTTTTATCATGGTGACAATGCTAATCAAAAGGATTCAGAATAAAAGCAATTCAGTTCAATATGAACTGGCTCAAAAAATACTTTGCCAGAGACGATACAAATATCTTGACGTGAGTCACATTGTCCAGCTATGAAGTGGATTTACTAGCAGGATTGTAAACATGATGCATGGTGAATTCATTGTTGGTTACTGCTCAACATGTCCTACATTTTCATAACAATATTACAGAAAACATGTAGAAGACAATTCCAAATTCGAAGTGTCAGTAACAAAAAGTGCATTCGACACAAGTCCCTATTTCGACATAGACAGAAACTGATAGCTGTCATGTGAAGCAGCAACTTGTGACGTCACATAATCATTCTTGCTCTGTTCACGCAGCAGGCAGGACAGCCGCCGTTTTGTTACGGCAATATGTAATTGGAAAATTAAGAATCATCCAAGCTTGACAATTTTCTGTCCTTGTACTGAAGTGCCTGACGTCTATGAAGAGCTAAGAGCAGAAGTTGCTGCACTTTAGTGCGAGTCTTATCGCCTGGGAGCGAGGACGGTGACCAAGAACCGTTGACGTCCTAATTTAACCGGCGCTCAAAAGGTCAGACCAGATCCGACATGGTAGTTGAGCACCCCAGTCGCCGCTGGAGACGTAGATATTCAACGTGAATACAGTCGTCAGGGAATTAGACGCTTGGCTCACCGGAGTTTACAATGTCATTGCCAGATGTGCACGTTATACTGAAACTGTTATAAAGTGTATGTCTGTATTACTGGAATGTAGTCATTCGCACTGTGATAGTCGTCACGACCAGATTTTAATCATTCTTCAAGCAGAGATAGCTTATCTACGAGACCAGTTTTCAGCGCTCGCAGTTCAAGGTCAGTTCGACCCGACTATTTCGAGATTCTTCAGGTCACTTCAACGTAACACGTCAGGGTTTTCGTCACGTGCTTTAAAGAATCTTCGAAGCGCGGCAGCGATGTCTTATGTGTACCCTCCTCAGCGTAGCAGAGGCTTTCATCGAGGCAGAGGCGGTTTTCGCGGACGGGATGAGTGAAGGAGTACGTATGCCATTGGCAAGAAAACCAGAGGGACTCCGACTTGACAATCATTCTTTTTCTCAGAAACAACATGTGTTTGTGTGAGACGAGATCACCAACGGATTTTCATGGTTTAATCTTTAAGGTTGCTAGTTCAGAGTTTTGTGTGTGTGATCACGCTTATAGTCAGGTTTATAAGCTCTCATAGTTTAACTACCTGTCATTAATTTTTAAGATATGATAAATTCTATCTTTCCAGGTAGCCTCGTACGTATATTTTATGAGAGCTTCAGTAGTTACATTTGGTAATTGTTACCTCCCCTATACCATCAGTTGGCAACACACGTATTACACTCTGTTGTGTTCTGTTCTACATACATGCAACACGCGGGCGCACACACACACACACACACACACACACACACACACATGCATACACATGCATACACATATACAAACAGACACACACAGACATATACACATACACAGGCAATCATAAAATCATACACACAAACCAACCCCCTAACACTCACAAACTAGCATGATAAATCGGCACAGAACTAACTCCACGGACTCATCGAGACTCCATGAATGTTATCATTTTGTCATTCAAACACTATTCCTATGGACAAAAATATGTTTCTTTGGTCTAGGTGTAGAAGATTGTAGGGTTATGACTCCACAAGACACGTTTACTCATTTCACTTCTTTATGTATATGTGTATATAAAACGTTTTTACAGCTAGAAATGTCGAAGTACCAATATAAGAACTCTTTGCAAATAACGTTGTTGACAGTATGCCACTAGCATAGGTATTCCACTTGCATATGTGGACGTGCTCCTGCTGGCCGACGTGTTCGAGACTTTCCACAAGAAGAAAAAATGGTGATTTCCAAAAAATTCCAAAATTGGAAACATGATGTTTCCAAGGCTTGGAATTTTTTGGAAATTTAGGAAGGATTTTACCACTACTTCTTTCAGTTTCTCCAATTCCCAAGGATCCCCGTGAGTGTATAGACTGTGTATTCGTCTTCCTAGGAGTGTATTCGTCCTCCTATGCGATCAACTAGGAACCAATTCTATATATTAGTATAACCAGGGAGACTATAAGACGTTGTAGATTATCCCTGGTATAACTTCACTCGTCTGCATCCTTGATGTTCTAGGTGTTAAAAATTAATATTGACTGTCATATTTGCCCTGATATGGCTACCATTTTCCAAAATACCGTTTTAAGTGTATGTTGTACTTATCATCCACAGAAGCGCAAATAGTTTTGACCTGTCACGGTTTGCATAAATATAAATTACATAGACCTACGTTACATCATTGATTAAATAAAAGTTTACCGGACCCACTGACTAACTGGACAGGGTTTATTACATGTCATAAAAGTGAACCCTTGCCAGGGAATAATAGGTTTATTGTAGTAGAATACATTATTTAATGGTACCCTCTAATTAACACCTGTCACAAGGGATGGACCGTTTGGGTGGTTTATCATTGCGAAATCAACAGTCAAGACTGTTATTTTAAGACTGTAGGCGAATAGAGAACAACGCATTTGGGTTTGTGGTCAGAGACGGTGTTATGCAGTTGGTGTATTCACGAAATATCATGAACTTGATAATAGATAATTGGTTATATTGTCCACACACGGGCGGGCTGAGGCAAAAAGAACCCAAATGAATTCCTTCTTAAAATCTTTGTAGTGTAACTACTAATTTGGTCATATACAATAAAAGGTGACTAAATGTTTAATTTTAGATAACGTTAAATAATTTCTAGAGAAATCACTACATAAGTTCATATCACAGATGATTCCAGAGACAAATAGTTTATGAGATGTTAGTTCATGAAAAGCATT